CCCTCTTTGAGATTGCTTTGAATATCCAGAATCTTCTCAGAAGATCTGGAATGGTAGTAATCCAACCGAAACTCAGAGAACAATAATTTTCAGCTTGGCTCGTAATTAGCCCCTAGTTTTATGAATATCTAACTGTGAGCTAACTGCCAGTTATAGGAAAAAGGGTTGGTTGCAATCTATCTGACTGCTGTGGATTGAATCCGCACTACTTCATCGTGCATACCAATAAGCCAAAGCAAAATTACTTGTCGAGTGATTAGCGCTCTGCGTTCCCAAGATCTCATTTCGATGAGGTCGCAGGTTCGACTCCTCATTGGGACATAATTCCTCCGGAAGCGATACGCCCGACCTGCGCGAATAGTGGGCAAGGGCCACCGTCCTATGATCGGAGACGGGTAAGAATGCTAGCTTTTCTTCGGCAACTATCCAAAAACTCAGAGACTTCGTTTAGCTACCTTCAATGTCGGTACCTCAATGGCAAAAACCAGAAGTTGCGGGTCTCTTGAGCAGACGACGAGTGGATATAGCCTGCGTACAGGAAACGAAATGGAAGGGTGGAAAATCAACGATGTTGGAGATGGTTATAAGCTTCTCTATAATGGCACAACCAGCAGTCGAAAAGGAGTAAGTATAGCAGTATCTGAAAGCCTAAGAAGAAGGATTGCGGCAGTTGGCCGATTAAGTGATCGTTATGAGCATAAAGATTTACACTGGTAGAAAAATCCTTCGAATTGTCACCGCCTACACTCCGCAAACCGAATGCAAAGGGGAAGAAAAGAATATGTTTGGCAGGAGCTTGACGACTACATCACATCCATACCACAGGATGAGATACTACTGCTCGCAGTCCTAAACAGTCATGTGGGAGAGAAAAGAAATGGTGCGGGAAAGTGTCACGGGAACCACGGATACGACACATGCAATGAAGAAGGCGGACGCATTCTGGAATTCGCCACAGCGTACAACTTAGCATTAGTTAACATGTACTACATCAAAAAGCATGAACACCTGATTACGTATTCAAGTGGAGATCGTCTAATACAAATTGATTACTGGGCAATGCGTTACAATAACCTGAGAAATATAATGGATTGCAAAGTTATCCCAGGTGAAAGCTGCTTACCTTAGCATAAGGCACTACTTCTAGACCAAAAATTCCAGCTGAACGACAAAGAGAACAACCCATGACTAACAACAAAGCACGAATGAAGTGGTGGAAATTAGGGAACTCTCTGGCCAAAGAAACTCTGGTAAGTACTCTACCTCTACCGGCCGTATGTGAGAAACCAGAACAGTCATGGTCAACCTTGAAACGTAATGTGCTCGGTTAAGAAGGAGTCTACTGGGTCACACGAGGCCAGGAAGAAGAAGAATCGACAAAGAAACTTGATGGTGGAACGATGAGGTTCAAGCGGTGATTAAGGAAAAGAGTCAGGCATACAAGCAATGATATAAGTCGGAATCGGGAAGCGAGACATATCTAAAAATGAAATACGCTGCAAAAACATGCGTCAAGAAAGCGAAGAAAGAAGAGCAGAAATGTTCAGAAGACCACTGGAAATAACTGAGAGATGGCGAACGTACTTTGAAGAAATCGTCTACTACCAGCATCGGCACAGCCATCCCACCTGCTGACCCTGTGAAAGGACCAGTCACTCATAACAACAGAGGAAGTATGGCTTGCTATAGCAAGGCCAAAGAACGGCAACTGGTCCAGTTGACATACCAAGCGATTCTGGAAAGAATGCAGATGGCTCGGTGCCTCAAGGCTTGCAGGCTTCTTTAAGCAGGTCATCAAAGCTAAGAGCATGTCCCATGACTGGTCAAAGAACACAACGATCTCGATATGGAAAAATAAAGGCGATATCACAGATTGTTCAACGTATCGGCCAATCCGGCTAATGAGCCACACTCTGAAGATCTTCAAAAGAGTACTTGAAACACGACTTTGAGCAATCATAGAGTTGCGATCCAATCAGTGCGGATTTGTAAAGGGCGCCGGTACTGCTGACGTCATCCATACTGTACGGATAGTGATGGAGAAGTATAGAGAAAAACGAAGAGAGCTGCATA